AATGCGTATTCAAAAATTCTATACACATCTCTGGTAAAATTCAATTAGCAGAAAAAGCATTAAAAGTACATTTAATTGTACTATTGCAATTACAGATACGCATTAAAATATATTTTATCGCGAACATCATACAATATACGCAAGAGATGAAAATATTGATTATTCGCTTAAACTACATTTACTTGTTTTTTTTTTTTTAAATTGTATTATCTTATTATTTTTGCTATAAAACTTACATATCTTTCTCCTGAATTCACTAAAACTTCTGTAAGAAATTTAAAAGATATATACATTTAAAAAGATTCTAAAAAAACATTACATCCGAAGAATAAGTTGAAACATTTAATTTTCATAAAATATTATTGGATAACTTTCTCTATATAAATAATATAAAATATAACTCGAGAAAAATCTCCGCTGCGAAACGGAATTATTTCTTATCAGGGTATATCTATCTACTATGAGAAAAATATACACACACGTCGCTTTTAGAGTTCTATTTTACGCTTTTAGCGTGTTTGTTTTACGACGTATCATTTTACCATGTTGATCAAATATTGAAAGATAAAAAATGATACCCCATCTGCGCGCTTACGAACGCGATACACGAGATGGATAGAACTCATATCCCATAGGGGATGAATTATTATCTTTTGCATTCTATTATTACCGGGATAGCGCGAACGCAGTCCCGACTATCAAAAATTGTACGCCCGAGATATCCACATTAGGGATATTCGCAAGGGTCAGCTCAACCGTAGTGCAATGGAAGAGCCTCGCCCTGGAGGAACCGCCTTCATGATCACGGTAACCTCTGCGCCAGGTAAGTATGCTTTCGTGGACGACGGGCTCCAATTTATCCACATCGTGAATGCATTTTAAACACGAGTAACTTTTCACGTCTGCGAAGCCTAGCGACGAATTCGCGAACTACGCCGCGCGCTACGTGCGCCACGTAGCGACCGTTTGTGTACTCTTTATCGTAACCGACGTAGTGACGTAATTCAACGGCCAACGGCCAACATTGTTGCCCGATTCCCGAGAGCAGATTAATCTTTCATTTTCGAAAAGTGTTTATCTTTTTTAATCTTGATGTGCCAAATTTCCGAATTTTCTATGCATCGATTGAGGTCGAAAATTAATGAAAAGTTAATTATTATTATTATCAAACAAAGGCAAATGTATATTTTAGACAAGGATTAATGTATTTTTTCTGTAGACAGGGAATACACACATATAATGTTTATACTTTTACGATTAATTAGATACGATTATATTATAATTATATACAGATCGTATAAAAATTTTTTCATATAAAAAAAAGAATACGAATAAAATGGATAGAGAACGAAGAATATATAGACTAAAGAATGAATAAGTAGAGAGAACTCGTTATTGCTTATTATTAATTAGCGAGTCATTGATTAAAGTTACACGAATCTCACAAGGAAATGCATTTATGTAATGAGGATCTTTCTGAGAGACGGAAATCCAGATTGGCTAATATATATGCGAAAGAAGAGAGTAACGGGCAGACTAAGGTTAAAAAGCCACTCACGCCTTAGAATGCAGTCTGTATTAAGCAATGAAAGTTGGATACCAGATATTGCGAAAGTTTGCCGCGTGTTCTATAATTGCGCGCCATTGCCAAGAGCATAATCTCCTCATCTTCTTCGTCCTCGCTCTCTTCTCATTCTCCACTTGTTTCTTGTTTCCCATTATCCGACCTTAGGCACGTGCTCAGGTCGTGGCGTGAGTTTACGATGAGAGGGTCGTTCCAATTTTGTATGAATGCATAAAAACTTTTCGATGTTCATTTAACTACCCATCGCGATGCTAATGAACTACAATTTTTGTGCTCGAAGATTTTTTACGTACAACGTTGTATAGAACGACTTTCAAATAATGACGCTTTAATTGACATAAAATAAATGAAAACTAATTTCTTTTTTGTTTAATATATATATATATAAATACAAATCTTTTATCAGCAATATAAAGAAAAATAATTAATGTCACACTTGACTTTATTCTATATGCAATCATATGTTTACTCCCACTATCTGTAATCTGGATTTTTTTGTTCCCAACCCAAATTTTTTTACTATTTTAGACATTTAAAAAATGTAGAAACATTCTGATTGTGAGTTACTTTTCAATGTTTTTATTATATATTACCAAATAATTTTCTCAATTATTTTAGGAAGGAGAACCGACTCAACCTTTTTTTTATTTTATTAAAAATTTTTAAATTCAATTTTACTTATGTCAAAACAACTCAGATGCAGAGATAAAAATATTTAAAAATATTTTATTTTATGGTTGAAAAAACATGATTTAATAGCATTTCTTTGAAATAACATAAAACTGTCAGTCAATATCATAATTCTTTTATGCTATGTATTTCATACCAAAATTGTTATCTTCCAGCAAATTATAAACTTCTATCGACAAGTGCAAAAAAAAAGAACATTTTATCAATTTCAAACTTCGAAGCAAATCGGAAATACATTTTCAAGTGTGGTTTATCGCAAAATTAATAAAGCAATATTCCGTCGCGGGGTCGATATTCATAGATATGTTTCAAGAACGTTCAAGAGAGTTTCTCGAAACTTTCGACAATAGAATTTTCGCGTTAGCAACAAGTGACGAACGGGAAAGGTTTTTTTTTTTTTTTTGCGAAGTGGAGTTTTTTTTCCCAAGTGGGCGCAGAACGACCGAACGAATTGGATTCCCTCGAGGTCTGATATCGGAGCGGTCGGGAGATTTTCCCAAGTGGGCGCAGAACGACCGAACGAATTGGATTCCCTCGAGGTCTGATATCGGAGCGGTCGGGAGACGAGAACGTTGATTAATCGCGAGCGCAAACAACGTGCAATGCTGCTCGATATCTCGCGGTCCCTTCTCTACCGGAGAAGAGATGGAGCGTGCTTCTAGAAGACGACAATTAATTTTCCCAATTCTGTCGGTCGTGCCGCGATGTTCGCGCGCCAGCTGCGCCAACATTAATAAGAGAAGACATACATATCGTCATGAATAGCGGAAAGCCGATGTACATTGAGGCTTCCTTCCGTACGTTCGCTTCAAATTAGATCGCTAAAAGAGTGCAGGTGTTCTATCTAACAATAAGATTACATTGTATTCAATTAGTGAGAAAAATTTAGGAAAGACTTCTCAAATAAGAAAAACGTTTGAAAGCGTGTGTTTATCAAAATTTAAATCAAGATGATCTATCTTGATCTATCTACTTCAGATTTATTTTAGATCTCTTTTCTTATAATCAGATAATGTCAAGGTACTGTAAAAAATTTAATGACGTATTATAAATATTTTTTATGAATAAATATTTTAACAAATTATATTTATAATACACATATATATATATATATATTTTTTTTATTGTATTTATTTATTTATTTATTTATTGTATTTATTTATTTTTTTATTTATTTAATACATATACTTAATATATATGTTTAATATATATTTCGATATGTAAGTTTTATATAGAAACTTCTTCAAATATATCTAAAAACAAAAATATCGAGAAATTGTGAAAATATTGGTAGGATATTAATTTTACGCAACGATTATCAAATCCTCTGGAAATGTGCCGATTTTTTTTTTTCCCAAGTCAGATTCTGCAGCGAGCCATGATTTTTATTTTAAACTCAATTTTGCACTGTACAAAAATTGAGTCGGTTTTACGGTCAGTGGTAGCAAAATCTAGTTGGCTCGCGAGCAAATTGACACGTCCGCGAGAACACTTTCGCAAAGTCGGGCGCGAGGGCACACGTGAAACTCAATTCGCCCGTAGAGGCGAAGAGTAGAATACACGCTATGATAGCGCTAATAATATACAAGTAACGAGAAAATTCAATTTGCTCGCTGTCGGAGTTATCGGTCGGCGAGATGAAGTTTTCAGAGCGGACATTAGCATCAAATGCGTAAACGGAGGAAACTCGCGTAGACGCGAGTTCAACTCTCTCGCGTTCTGGCTTCATATAATTGCTGACGAAATAATCGGATCCTCTTGTTTCCTCGCCTTACTTGTTCTTGAAATATATGTTTTAAACTCCATTTTCCGAGATAAATCGTATTGAGTCTTTGCGTGTTATTATATATACGTATATTGTGTAAATACAATGGAGTACTACTCGCTTCTGATAAACGGTCGAAAAAGTTATTTGATAAGATTTGATAAAACTCACCACAGTAATTGTTCGAATTATTATCGCGAAGCTGTGTAGCTGCGAATGTGGATAAATTTTTATATCAGAATTGATTAGAGAACATTGATGATATGATCGATTGTCGAATGACTCAGACTTGAGCCATTAAAATGTCATTTGTTAAAATATTATTTTTTTTAAACAATATACAACAAATAAGAAACAAATTTTACTTTTCCGTAAGACGTTTCTATTTTATTTATTTTGTGTTTCATTTTTTTATTAAAAGGCGCATGACGTACGATCTTTTTTCTTGTCGCCAATTATTATGAATTTAAAAACTTAAATAATATAAATAAGAAATAATTTTTAATTTGACACAAAAGTCTTTATTACATTTAATATTTTGTATTAAAAAATACATATAAGACACATAACTTTCAGATTAATGCAAATTTTAAGAAAGTGAAATAAATAGAAAACGCTGTTTCCTAATAAATAAGAAACAAATTTTTATACAAAATTTTTCCTTTCTTCCTTTTTTACTTTGTTTAATTTATTTTTATTTTGTATTAAGAAACATAAGACACTTTTTTTGTTGCAATTTATTGCAAATTTAAAGCCACATATAAGTACATATTTCACTTTTACGTTAAAATTTTTCCACTTCATTTATTCGGTTTAATTTATTTCCATTTCGTATTAAGAAACGTGAGATTGTTTCCTTGCTAATCTGCAGATCTAACAAATAAGTTTTATCAAATAGTAGTGCATATCGCATAGAGTTCACTTCTTCGCGGGTGCCAGGAAACTCGAGTGACGATACTGCAAGTACGTATGACCGAATAGCCGTCGGCGATTGTTGACGACAGCCGTTGCTCCGAATTTGTGTTCTGTCATACGCACGCCGCTCGTTGTAGTCGTTGTTGATTCAATTTGACGGTGTTTCTCGTCGATTGCGTACACTTTGCACGAGTAACGATTCAACATGGGTAATTGTTGCCCGTTCTGTTACAAGGAATCGTCGTCATACGAGGATCTCACTCCTGATCGGGTGTGTCTTCAGCATAGGTTATAAACGCGTACATAAATATTGTTAATCCATCACCTGCGTGATAAACGAAATCGTTAAATCATCACAAAACATTCTCCTCGGCTTCGTTTTTGTTTCTTTCCGTGACAAGTTTTGGTCGCTCAATATTATTTCTTTCGAAAATCATTATTTCTTTCGGAAATTATTATTATTTCTCCGTTTTTCCGTTGCGTTATAAAACTGCTCTGCATATTTTTGACGTGTCCTTTTTAGCTAAACTTGCACGATTCATCTTTCAATCTTTTTTTTTTCTTCCCACGTTGAAGAAAAAAATAGCAAAGAATGAATTGTGTATAAAAAGTTAAATTCAGTTAAAAAGAATAAATCTATTTTTCCTTTTCTCCTCAGGAAACTATACGTAGAAGACAGGCAGAAGCAGCTGAGAAAAGGATAGCCGAGCAACAGCAACGGGGCATAAAGGATATAGAATCTGTCAAGAGACAGCAGCGACGAGCAATGGAACTCGAGAAGCGAGAACAGGAAGCTGCTGCTAGTGGCACGCAGCCTGCGCTACGAGTAAGAATATAGTTAATTGTAATTTCACTGTTTAAATGTATACTTGAATAAGATTTCATATAGCTTGATGTATCCGTTTAGTGGCAGGTAAACTGAAAGGAAAAAACATGCTGTGGTTCAACGGGAGAATGAATTGTACATTTTCTTATTCGAAAGGTATTAAATATTCTACATAACACTTGGCTGACCAAAATAAGGCAGACCTAACATCACCAATGATACTGTTATATTCACACAAGTGCAATCTTATTTTATATAACTTATATAGAATTATGGGAATAAGTTTTGAGTTTTTTAATTTAATAAAATACATCAGCTGAAATTGAACAATTGTTAGTTCGTTCTCAGCTGATGTATATTTTTTATCATATTTTATATGAAAGTTTATATATGTATACATACATAATTATGCATGCTCTAAAATACGACTGACACTGCTATAAACGTTACAATTTTGTTTTTGTTTTAATCTACTAAAAGATTCTATTTTAAATGTAATACATTTATATGTATATGTTTTCATATATTATACATATAAATATATTACTTTTAAAATAGAATCACAAATATGAGAATAACCATTATAAAAATAAATTTTAAACGATGAATATGAAAATATTTAAGAACAATCTCGTTATGCATATTGTTAATCTTTCTTTAATAAATATCAACTTTTGTAATTGCAAGTTTCAAATTTACGATCTACATAGTGCCTACACTTAAAAAATCTATATCGAGAAATAAGACTAAAAGTGCATCGTTTGTTGTATGTATAATCTCTTATATATGCAAGTTTGTATCTATTAAAATATAAATTTAATATATATAATATTCAATAATTATGTGATATAAAAGTAATTTAAATTAAACTCTGATTATATATTTATATCTCTATATATTGTATGTATAATGTATATGTAATGTATTTGAGTAATACATTATATATGCACTTATTAATATATTATTATATTTTACATTATAATATATCTAGTATTATATGAAATAGTAATACATGTAAATGTACAAATGTAATATATCAGAAATTACAAATGAACGAAATGGTATTTTAATATATATTTTTCATTGGTATTTCAATGTACTCTTGTATTAAATTTTCCAAATATTAAAAAATCTACAATATATATAAATTAGGACTTAACATAGTACATATATATATATATATATCTTTCTCTCTCTCTTTAATTTATCTTGTACAATTTTGTGAAAAGTTGATAATAAATTCTTATTAATATAATTATACAAAAAAGTTGAGATGAACGTCATATGGAATGCTATTGGAATCGTAATACATATAGTGGCTGGACATAATATTAAGTATTAAAAATTTTTCTATACAGCTTGTAAAAAGATTGTAAAAGATAATCGGCTTGCAAAAATATTCTTTGCCTTAATTAAAAATGGATAAAAATTTATTAAAATTCTTTTATATCCACTTTTTATTAATACGATGAATACTGATGAATTTCACGTTTTCGAACTTGGATTGCTTTCCGAAAAACAAGTAAAAGATGTGGTTTCATGCATGTTAAACAGATGTACAATTTTCCTTAGATCTCATATTTTTCCTATCCGATGAACCGACCAAGAGCGAAACAACTTTTTCGTCGATTTATTCTTAAGCTCTCTGCCGTGAGCGATTTGTACTTCCAGCGAGGCACCGTTATTCAATGCCAACCACGTATGAATCTCATCAGTAGCTGCAGATACACCTATATTTTTAAATAAAAATCATATATAATATGCGTAAATATATGAAACAATAACGAATTAAATTAAAGGATATAAGACAATATAATTGATATGTATATATTTTGTATATGTGTACTTATATAATTTTATATATATATATATATATATATATATATATAAACGCGCAAGAATATTTAAAACATCATACCTAGTAATTCATGTAGAGTTATACGTCGACTGGCCAGCAACTCCTTACTGGCGCTCCTGATCTCGAATATCAATACTGACTGTCTCGGTACACCGTCGCCGTCTATATGAAAATCTATGCTAAACTGAGGATTAGGCATAGCTGGCAGGAGTCGCGATTTCGCGATAGTCTTACCGCCGTTAGGCGAGACAATCTTATCCGGACTGGTGCATCTGGAAATTCTTAATTTAATTATCTGTCGTCAATTAATGCCACCATCATCAATCATATTAACTATATATATATATATATATTAACTTACGTTTGAAGTTTTACTCGGCAGTACAATTGGGCAATGTGCGCTACGTGGAGACCCTGCGCCTGAAGAACCTTCCCTTCCACTCCGGAATACTTCTCTCTAGTGCCGTTAACAATTTTTAAATCTGAAAATCCAATGTTCTATTTGATTTTCGTGTTTCAGCATTAAATCACTTTTCATCCTAAGAGAATAGAAGGCTGTTTATTTAAAATAAAAAAAAAGACTAATATATTTATTTTTTATTTTATCTTTTTTCAATTTTACTATTTTAAATGGCATCAACAATAAGTGTGACAAGTGTATTTAAGAACGTCTTAAGATGTCATAAGTCAATTACAATCTATTAGCAGATTTTAAGATATTACTTAAGATGATTTTGAAGTAAGAATCGCAACTATAAATATCAAAAGATATCTGGAATGAAAATATCTGTATGATGATACACTGTATGTTAAAATATCATGTACGATGGTATGGACTACCCACTAACCATTCGGCCTCAATCTTAATCGCGGACTGGGTTGCCTTATCCTGCCTAACATGTCAGGTTGCGACACCGCGTGAGCAAGACCAGATTCCGACAAGAGCTCCGTGGCGTCAGCCTCTCCGCCGCCTCTGGGTTCCAGACTTAGCGTGATGCCCTTATTATCATTTTTATCCTCTATAGTTACTTCCGAACGAAATCTACGAAGTTTTAAACCCCTCTTCACCTACAATTACGAAATACCTTAAACTGACGTTTCGATCATGAATAATTTCACGCGTTTACCTTCTGTTTCATCATGCGGAAACTGTTGTACTGTGGTAACTTCTTGCCGAAATTTTGTTCAGGACTGGGTGTCAAGCTATGATGGGAAGATCGTCTTTCTGCGATCACTTTGGTGGTGTCGCCCTCATCGACGGAATTACCCGCAACTGATTCTGTAATGACTTTCGGAATCCAAAAGCTCGACGTTCCGTTTATTTCATTGGATTCTTTACTGGTGATGCTAATTTTATCTGTACGAAAAAAATATACCAAAACCATAAATTCTAAAACCATATCGAATGACGTGCTGTTTATAAAAGTTTATATTGCCAAAGATGTTAAACATAATATAAATATGTATGTGAATAAAATATGAGTTTTCAAACATGACATTACCGGACTGGTTGGATGTGGTTGGCTTCAGGAGAGTGACGGTGCGTGGTGGAGGCGGAGGAGGTACAACTGGATCCAAATGTAGACGTATTTTAGATCTTTCCATAGAAGGCCTTCGCACAATACTCGACAAGGAATCAGGTTCGGTGTTCAAACGAGAAGAATTGTCGCTGACATTGCTGGTTGCATACGTGCTTTGTGTCTAGAGCAAATTTCAAATGGAGATTTATAATGAGAAAACACTCGAAACAAGATGACTCACTGAACACAAAGTAACAATAACATTATAATGTTATAATTTCCTATTCAATAACATAACTTATGTATATACAACATGTGCTATATTATATTGAGTAGGAAATTATAATATTAATATAATATTACTGTTCGTTTAACGAGGGCTGAAGTTACTGTTGCGCGAACATTACCTCGCACTCTTCCGATAAGATCTTAATTTTCAGCTCTATAGATCCCGTTTTGGTTTCTCTGAGCGGAAACCAATGGGACTGATCGCTGTTTGATAGCTTTCTGATATCATCGAGAGTCAGTGATACTTTCCCAAGGTAATCCTTCATACCGAAAGTATCATGATCCCATAATACCTACAAAACCAAATTTTTTAAAATGATCCTCTCTATTTCAAGAAGAAATTTCAATGCAAGATGTAAATGTGCATAATTACGATATCTAAAGCTTCTCCGGTTTTCGGCAAACCCATGATGGAACTCTCATCCCAGCAAGGATTCAGCGTCTTCTTCTTTATGCTGCTCTTGTATTTTGTTTCATTGTTCAGTTTCAATTCGCAGAAGGGATCGCTGAAGCCATTCAAATCTTTCGCGACGAGATCCTTCGCGCGCAACAACGTCACCTCCATCAAACCGCTTCCAGTGGACAGGAGACTGGATATATCGGAGGAGGCGGGATCGGTGTCCTTGTGCGTTAATAACAGCTTCTAAAAGTTTAAGATTTGAGTGGGCATACGAATTTGAAATTTTTTTCCGAATGAATATAAGACTTTATACAGACTGCCTGTTGCATCCATGGCAAACTGTTTCGTTTGATTTTCGGTTCGTCGTCCAGCGTAGTTGGAATCAAGCTGCTTCTGCGACTGTTAACTACTTGCTGTACACTTTTGATAGGATAAAACAGGACGGAGATCGTCATGGTAGAAGCGATGTTGGAACCGCTGAGCGTGAGTTCCTTTCTAACAATCCACGTTGTGTCCTTTGAAAAAAATTATTTTTTATCGAGATTTTTTTACAGCATTGCAAGATAACATGTGCAATTACATGTAATATAAATTGAAGAATTTAAAACAAAAACAAGGTAAATTTATAATCTATAAAATATATTTTAAGTTTAACCACACTCATATTTTTGAAATAGTTCTTTCCAGATTATGATCTTCTTTTATCTTTACGATGAATCGTCTGATTTCATCAATATTTGATTACCTGAGACAGAGATAGCATAGCCAATCCAAGCATGTCCGTATCCATTGATTTTACTATATTCCATGAATAAATGACGAAACTCAGCGACACTTGCGTGTAATCCTGTACCAAAAATTGCGCTCTACAGTCCCAAACCGGGGATGTAGTTGAACGAATATAATGCGTCGTTTTTACCTAAAAAAAAAAACATAGAACGTCAACAGATATATTTTGCACAGATATAATTGCAAACATATTTTAAAATTATAAATTATATTTACCTTTTTTCGATTATTAAATAACATGCAATAAGGATTACACTGAGCAATATCGCCGTGAAGATTGTCAGCTGAATGAATATAAACCACCAGTACCCCTGAAAATTACA